CCCCCCCGTTTGATTAGAAGATTGGGGAGAAGAACCTGAAATTCGGCTCCCGACCGGGTCTTTTTACTCTGTTCACCACGGATAGCAATCCCCAGGATCGCCCGGCTTGCGAGGAGGGATGCTTGACTGGCCGATGGACACGGGGAAGCTGCCGTTATACAGTTTAGCCAGGAGGCTCGAGCTGGAAACGGCGGCCTGAAAGCCGCCCCCGTTCGAGGCCAGGAGGCCTCCTCTCTTTTGTATACGCAGACTCACCAGAACGCATCGTCCTTGATTGTGGATATGGATTTTTCACCGGGCCGGAGAGGCCACGGTTTCCCTGTACACTAAATAGCTGAGGTCCGGGCACGCCTTAGGCCATAGCGGAGTATGAATAATAATAATAATAATGTGTGCTCACCGGAGTCTTTCCCTTGGGATAGCTTCCCAATGCCCATGAATAGCGCTACACCCTGTCCTCCCACCCGTCTTCTGGGTAATCCAGCAACACCCACCCAGCCCCGCAAAAAAGTCTTCGCCCACATTATGGTAGGCTAACCCACCCCCCCCCCCCCTCCCCCCCCTCCTCTTCTCCCCCATCATAGGTCGGCAACCTCCCCGCCTTCACGCTCCCCGACTGGGAATCTGACATCCGCCTTGCGCAAGCTTCTCACATCGACGGCTTCGCGCTCAACATCGCGGCGCTGGGGAAGGGGAAGAAAAAGTACAAGAAATAAGCAATGGGAAGGTTATTGCTACCGCTGAGGGAGGTAAAGAGATCTCGACGCAGTGCGAGAATAATTAACGTGCAAAACTGGAATGCCGTTGCGGTGTAGCAAAGGCTCAGGGGGTTATCACTTTATTTCTCCATCTTCCTTCTTTTTATTTTTATTTTTCTCTTTATTTTTCTCTTCTCTTTCTCTTTCTCTTTCTCTTTATTTTTCTTTCACTTCTTCCGGATCCTCGATGATTATAGCCAGCAACGGTTGGCTTTCTCGCTTCCCTGTGTTCATGATAATGAATCTTGGTGTTGAAACACATGGGTCAGGGATTTGATCGATGATCCATCAAACTGTCACAGATTCAAGGAAGCATGCATGGAACGTATAGTACATAGTAACGGCATTATGCATGCTTCATCCTTCCTGGTCGAAAGTTGGTTTTCTTTGCTTTTATACGTCATCGAATCCCGGGCGCCGGGCCGGAAGTGGGTCAGGATCGGCATCCCCGTCCGACCCGGAATGCAACCCCGCACCGCTCGAAGAGACGTGAGAGAAGGTGATATTCTGGTCGAGCAAAAAGGGAAAGCGACTTGTTGGGTATCATCAAAAATCCCAAGGGTGATGAACTAGTCTCTGGATTCTCTAGAGACGGTTAATTCAGGTTATACATGCTGCCACCTTTAAGAAGTTCGAATTTGAGACCTTTTTGTTCCCACCGAGACGGCTGACGGCCGCCGTCACAATTGGCTCCCGGATTCCTTGGATGACGTGAAGATCATCCCTGTCTGGGCGTTGCGCAACCCGAACAACGTCCGGAGCAGTTGCTCCTGTGACCCCAGTAGTATACAAGTTTCAGGGAAAACATCATCTTGGAAAATATAGTACAAAAGCAGGACGAGAACCCAAGCCGTTTGTCCTACCAGCATCGCCATTTCGCTCGCCTAGGACCGTACATGCATTGATCCCCTGCGTGCATGATTTGTTGACTTAACCCTTACAAAATGAACACGGCAACCAGAACCCTGCGTTTGGCAGCGCGGCAGCGCTTCAGCACTCGCGCCGCCCAAGCAATCCCTAATATAACCCCACTCACCAGACTCACATTCGTGAGGGCCATGCACACCCCGCGCAAAGAGCAACAAGTGTGGCCCACGGACACCACCAGCCCCGAGCCACGCTCACACCCCAACAAAGACAACAAACCTGCCATAGACGAGAATGTTGGCAAGAAAGGATTCGCCGACTTCAACGTCGCAGGCAAGGTGTTTGTCGTGACCGGCCGGCGCTCAGGGACTCGGTCTCACCATGGCTGAGGCACTGGTCGAGGCAGGCGGGAAGGGTAAGCAATCCCATAATCCCGACATACACATGCACCAAACCGAGACCTCCCACTAACACCACCCCCCAGTCTACGCGCTCGACCGCTCTCCCGAGCCCGACGAGCAATGGGCCGAAGCCATCGCGCGCGTGGTCCCGTCGGCCGGCGGCTCGCTGCACTACCGGCAGCAAAACGTGGCGGACACGGCGCACCTGGACTCGCTGATCGCGTCCATCGCGGACGAGAACGGGCGGCTGGACGGCGCGGTGGCGGCGGCGGGCGTGCAGCAGGTGACGGAGGCGCTCGACTACACGCCCGAGGACGTGGCGCGCATGCTGGACGTCAACTACACGGGCGTGTTCATGACGGCGCAGTCCGTGGCGCGCCAGATGTTTCGCTACAAGATGCGGGGCAGTATCTGTCTGATTGCGAGTATGTCCGGGATGGTGGCGAATAAGGGGCTATTGTCGCCCGTGTATAACTCGAGTAAGGCGGCGGTGATCCAGTTGGCGAAGAATTTGGCGATGGAGTGGAGTCCGGTGAGGGAGGATGGCACGGGAGGGATTAGGGTCAATTGTATTAGCCCGGGGCATATTTTGACGCCGATGGTGTTGAAGAACTTTGAGGAGGTGCCCGGGCTGAGGGAGACGTGGGAGGGGGAGAATATGATTGGGAAGGCTGGCGGAGACGACTGAATTTAGGGGGCCGGTGTTGTTTTTTGTGGAGTGGCGCGAGCAGTTTTATGACCGGGGGTAATTTGGCGCTTGATGGGGGACACACTGCGGGGTGATGGCAGTCCTGGATATAGAGTCACTCCCCGTTGCGTGGG